TAAGAGGGGCCGAACTGCCTGATTCCCCCCTAATCTTGCTGTTCATTCCCTCTGGTTGTCTCTGAGCAGCTGCACGGGAGAGGGCAGAAGTGGCAGAGCAGGAGTGGAAAGTAAAGGAAGAGGAGAGACGTGCCACTGAGCAGCGTCTGTTAGACGAGAAGAGGGCGATGGAGGCGAATATCGCTCAGCTGAATGAGAAAGCGAAGGAAGAACAGGCCCAACTGCTCAAGGAACACGATAAAGTCCTGAACCAGAGACTCCAGGAGCAGGAGAAGCTGGTACAGGAAGGATTCCAGGGCCGTGCGGATGAACTGCAGCAAGAGATCGACTCTCTGAGAAAGGAGAAGGAAGAGGCAGCGTCCCCTTCCTTTGTGGATCTGGCTATTGACACAGCCATTCTAGCAGCACCTGGCTATTACAAAGCGATCCCAATCACTGCCAAAGTAGGGAAATATCTGTGGAACAAGTTCTTCTGAGTGCCTTACACCTTTGTCCTCCCCTACCCACTACCTTTTTCGCTGCCGAGGGGAGAAAAGAGTAAAATGACCGTAATAATTGAAAGCCTTGCCTCCTCACAAGGTACTGGGTTGTTATCACCAATTTTTCAGTGGGAAAGCTAAATAAAATGTACAAATGACACAGACATGCAATCCTTGAATAATGAGTTGTTCACAGCCACGTCTGACTGTCCATGTCATTTAAATTCCAAAGTCACTAGGCAATGCAAACAGCTTCCACAGACCTCTGGAAGACTTTTCTTACAGAGGTTTTACAGACTCTCGCTCTTTCCTCAGAATTTTCAATGATTCAATAACTGGATATAAACAAGACAGCAAACAAAACTCTGTGCTAATAGATTTCATAGACTCACTGCCTTTGCCAAAAGAAATCAAAAACTATTTAATTCAACTAAAACATAATGAGATAGAGTTTGGTTTGTTGTTGGCGGCACATTAGTTCGTGACCCCATGACAGTCGGGACATTCTGTGAGGTTTTGTAGGTGATATTGATGGGAGGACGATCAATGCTGGGCTTCTATGACCTGGTCAGGCGTTGAGTGATTCTGAAAAGTGGATGATAATTCCAGAGAGGGGTGGGATTTAACACACTGCTCTCATGGTGGTGGAAATCCAATTTGGACATTCGGTGTGTGTGGGTGAAGAGAGATTACAGATGTTGGTGTGGGTTTCCATTGGAACCGAGGAGATTTGATTGAGGTCTGCCAAGCGATGAGGGACATAGATAGGGTTGCTGCGGCAACTTTTTCTCCCTAAGAGAGGGCTCAATTTCATTTGGGGAGGTGGGATTTTAGGGAGGAGACAGAGGTTTGGAGGGGAATTAAGGGGAAATCTTTTCACCCAGAGGGTGGGAGGAATCTGAAGCTCGCTGCGTGAAAGGGTGGTAGAGGTGGGAACGAGCACAATATTGAAGAAGGATTTAAGTGAGGTGAGAGTGACAGCCCTTGACATCAAGGCCTCATTCAACCGAGTGTGGCATCGAGGAGACCGAGCAACCTGGATCAATGGGAAAACTCTCTCCTGGTTGGAGTCATACCTGGCACATAGGAAGGTGGTTATGGTTGTTGAAGGTGAGTCACCTCAGCTCCAGGACATCTCAGGGTAGTGTCCTCGGCCCAACCGTCTTCATCTGCTTCACAACTGGCCGTCCCTCCACCATAAGGTCAGAAGTGGGGATGGTCACTGATATTCATGACTCATCAGATGTTGTCCCATGTTCAAACGCAACAAGATCTGGACAATATCCAGGCTTAGGCTGACAAGAAACACTCATGCCATGCAAATGCCAGGCTGTGACCATCGCCAGCAAGAGACAATCTGACCATCACTCCCTTGTTATTCAGTGGTATTCCCATCAATGAATCCCCTGCCAGCAACATCCTGGGGGTCATCATTGACACAAAATTCAAATGGACTCACCACATAAACACAACGACTCCAAGAGCAGGTCAGAGCCTAGGAATTCTGCAGAAAGAAACTCACCTCCTGACTCGCCAAAGCCTGTCAACCACCCGTAAGGCACAAGTCAGGAGAGTGATGGAATACTCCCCACTTGCCTGGATGGGTGCAGCCCCAAAAACACCCCAAAAAAAGCAGCCCCCACCTGATAGGACCACATCCACAAGCATCCACTCCCTCTACCACTGACACTCAGTAGCAGCAGTGTGT